GAAATATTTTTTATTCGCGTCTTTGAGCATGCAACTCACCAAGTTTACATGTGCATTTACCACATGTACATACAAAAAGCGGCTCATAGTTATTTAATTCGTCCCACAATACCTTAAGTTGCCCATAATAGGCACTTATGGATGAAGTAGCCTTTGGAAGTATAACTATGAACTCACCAAGTTTACATGTGCACTTATTGGATGAAGTAGACCCATCACTGTGTTCGTTCTTGTCGCCGACAACCATGGAGAATGATTGTCGCTCACTTCAGCGAGAGGCGCTCTCATACAATGAAATAAAGGTATTTCACTAATCAAAGAATTATTATTATCGCCTCTCTGCATCGTACATCTGGTATATAAATATACCTACAAGTCCAAATAGTCCAGTACAAATAACAAATTAGCCTACTAGGAAAAAACACTGCACACGTGCACATGAAACCTTAAAATAATAAATAACATTATTTGAGAAAGGCCCAAGTTGTGAAAAAGACTTCGCCAAAAAAATTTACTCGTTGCTCTGAGCCTCAGACAGTGCTGGTGGCAACTCGCTCGGACAATGCTGGTGGCAACTCGCTCGGACAGTAGACGAAGCTCTAGGTCGCAAATCATCCCGTGGTCGCCTCTTCTCTCCCAGTTTTAGGTGTGTTAAACCATGGATCCACAAGCTTCGCCCTTGCCTAAAGTCTTCATTGAAGCTATCCCCCCTAATCTCCTGACGAATGGTCAGAACTGGGACACCTTTATGCATATATTACTTGGCCAGCCCTATCCATTTCTGCCACCAGGACATTATTTTGGTGCACTTAATTTTTTCAAAGCTTTAGGTGAACTTGAAATAATTAATGTGCTGGAACCACATCCAATCCCCGGAGTTATATATGCGATTGTGGGTCGAGTACCAGGGGATGGATTCCAATATGACAGAAACGGAGCGGTTTATAAGTGTGTTGCGCTTAGGCCAGGGTTCGATATTCATTTGATCATCAAAGAAGAGTACCGCACCGGTTTTGGGGGAGTGTTCTGAAAGTTCATACGTCTAAATTCTCTCCCCAATTAGAGACTTGTTCATTCCAACTGAGATGATGCCGGAGCTATTCGGTCAAGTGCGTGCGCGATTGCACGGAATCGCGTAAACAGGTGTACATACACAGGTGACCGTAGCAAACACCCAAAGGCTTCTGGATGTTATGGTGAATAGGCTGGGCATCCAAGGTGTAGCCAAAGTACCACCTTTTCCTCATCCAGGGCCTAACAACTGGACTGTCTTCCTCAACAGGCTGAATGTAGAGCAGAATAGGATAAGAGATTTGATCCAAGCATTGGATCAATTCCTTGCCGACAATCCTTGATGCTTTGAGGAGCCGAATTAAAATACCTAAAAGACTTTTAGTGTGAGACAATGTTTAACTTATTTTGAATGTGTAATTAGTAACATGACTGTTCTTATTCCACTAATGATGAAGATTATTCAAGATATATTATGTAAAAAACATTATTTAAATAACCACAAATAATAATGACAAGTCCGAGTAGAAGTAACAGCCCATCAATCCAATAGTCTGTAGTCCGTCAATAAATTCTATCTGAAGGTAAAACGAAGGATTTTGACAAGAAACTCTTTCCCGAACATGAGTCCTGGGACGGAGGTGGCTGCCGACAACAGAAGATTCGGAAACAGGAAGTTAGGCAAGTTTCATCATGGGATACAGAAGATTCTCGTAGTAGAGTATCCACAGGATGACGGCGGGCAAGAAACGAAGGAGGAGAATGAAGGTGTATTCTTGTTCATGTATTTTTTATTTATCGTTTTCTTTTTCTTTTTCCTTTCTATTTACACGCTTCTTGAATACGCAGAGGTGGGAGAAGATTCAAGTTTGAGATGCGTGACACAACATGCAGAAGATGAAGGTATATGCATTTGTAGTTTCTAACTTATTTGTACATGCACAGAGTTATGTGATGCGCAGAAGATGCTCCTTTATGCCGATCAAGAATCTTAACCTCCTTCTCACAAGCTTTCATGACTTCATTTTGTACATTCTTCCTCGTTTGGCTAGTTTTAGGCCAGCTATTGAATTTTGTTAAAGTTCTACACCAGATATCTCTGAAAGAATTAAACACTATATTAAATCTGAGCTACTCATCCTATCAGGTTGACTTTTAGGATGGAACCCCATATCTTAACATGGTATCAGAGCCAAATCTTGATCCATGATGTGAGGTCCCTTTATGAAAAATAATGACACGATTATTAAAAAAAAAATTGATAATGACGAATCGATGAAAAAATTAATGACGACACGATCCAGATAAAGTGTTTGGTCATAAGGAGGGGTGTTAAACTCCCACACCGGATATCTCTAAAAGAATTAAACACTATATTAAGATCTGAGCTACTCCTCCTATCAGGTTGACCTTTTAGGATGGAACCCCCGATCTTAACAAATTTCCACTCATTTGAGTCCATTGATTTTTTTTTCAATTAGATGCAGCTGGTGATATATATTTTGTATTGCGTCAACAGACCCGCACGAGTAGCTCAGTTGGTTCATTGATGGGATATTTGGAAAAATGACCAAGGTTCGAAACCCGCAACGACCGTGTGGAGGTTACAGCTCCTGGGTGTTGGGCTGGGCCTCTAGTGCTCACGGGTATAAGGCCTACCATCAGTAGGTCGACTTAGTCACCGTGACTTACATCCTCTCAAAAATGTTGTTGGATCGGGACGTGGGGGCCTTGAAGTTGGAAATTCAACGTTTTGGAACCATTGTATTGCGTCCACAGAGTTATGGCAGTCTTTCACTAAAGCAGAAGATGCTCTATTAGGCTGACCGCAACCCGCTAGAGTCAATAAATCAAATTTGCCATCTTTTTATACGTATTCACTCAGTCAATCAGTTTTTCTCTGCAACCCAGCACCGTCAATATATTCACCCAGCACAATTTTTTTTAAAGAAATGTGTAAGTTCTTACTTTCATTACCACACATCAATCATATGGCAAATTATTTTTTACCAATCATTATGATTTAAAAAGTCAAACATTTCGATGTAAAAAACAAAATTCGTAGGTTTAAAATTTGCCCACATGAGCTTAATTTCAAATAGAATGGAGTTTCCAAAGCACCGATTAATTTGAACCGTGCAAAAGTCCTGCTAATTGCTGCTGACTAATGGGACCCGCACTGCTGCAACTGTTGGCTCCCTCCTGTTTTCCAGCGGCCAGTGGAAATGGTAGGTCAATGTACCCACCAAAATTTCTGCTAGGTGGTGCCAAGCACCCACTTTTGCACCCAACAATACATGGGTTGCAATGCTTTTTTGGGGTGAATAGAATGGATTTGGCTTATTCAACAAAGGTTGCAAGCAGCCTTATCTGGAATCTCAACTTTCTCTCAGGCTTTTTGGACTGCAGATGTGACATCCTATTCCTTCTCCTCTGGGTACTCTAGGTCAGCTAGATTGTCACAAATGAATTGATAATCATTTTCCAAACCCATGTTTCGTGCATTAATACGGGCAGGGCACAATCAAGATTCATGTCAGTCAACCAAAAGTATATTTGTGTCTTTGCTGAAAGAGATTGTCTAATTTCATAAACGAATTTCCTCACATTTTAGGCCTTAATTTGTCATTTCCAATCATTAACCAAGCTTCTCCCTTACTGTGAATGGATAAAACTTCTAATAAATCAAACACAAGAAAAAGGTTTTTCATAAATCGAACTGCTCTTGTGCAAGTGAGCTAACTACGAATTTCCAGTCTTTTTTTAAAAACCTGTTAAACTCATGTGTGGAAATATAATTATGAATTTAATTTATTACTTATCATGAGACACTTTTTGAAGAATTGAAGTATTGTATGTTTTCGGCTCACTGATAGATCCCATGTCACCTATGGCCGGTTCCGGGTCGGGCTCCAGGTCTGGGAAATTAAGTCTCGGTACCGGCCCGGGTTAGAATAGGGACCGGGTCGGGCTAAAACTATTCTTTTTGGTCTTTTAGAATGAATTTGAACCCCCACCCCAAACCCACCCCAAAATGCCCAGCCCCACACACCTAGAACCAGCCCAACCCCCAAAAAATTAATAAAAAAAACAAAAAAAAATATTTGGGCCCCGAATCGGGCCCAGCTCGGCTAGGCCGGTGCACCTAATTCCAAGCCCGTAGGCCACCTCAATATGCCTCCAAATAGTGTCGGGCCGGGTACCGGGTCAGGCCAACCCGACCTAGTTCACCCCTAATGTCACCCATGTGTGATACATGACCCGTACAATTTCATTTAAACTAGTATTTCACTCGTGCGATGCGACAATTTTTTTTTTGTTGTATTTGGTTTTTATTTAAGATGCATACTGAAATATTTATGCAGAATATATTTCTTCAAAAAAAAATGAAGTACTTGATTGATATATGACAAATGTTATACTAAATGCATTTATAAATATTCTGGATATTTTACCCCCCCCCCCCCCAAAAAAAAAAAAAAAAACTCTGGATACTAAATGTAATTTCTAATACATAAAATGTAGTACAAAATATCCAAAATATTAAAAATTTCTAATAGTACACTCATTATTTTCATCATGAAATATGCAACATTACTCAGGGAAAATTTTATCTCTTAATGGAAATTGTTGGGCCCAGATAATATTCGTCCAAATGGGCCAACAAGCTGGAATAATTGGCTCATTGAGTAGCCGAAGCCCATCATGCCAGATAAAGTAAAAAAGAAAGAAGTCCAAATGAAGAGGAAGTCCACCCACTAGCTCTTGATAACTTAAAATAGAAGATAAGAACGTGGAAGAAGTCTAAGGCTGAGGAAAAACAGTTGCACGTGGAGAGAAAATAGGAGAAAAGTTGCTAATCTTGGGGAGGAAGTAAATTTCATTCAATAAATATACTAGCTCAACTCTAATATAAAGCACGATCATTTTACAATCACAAAGACATTCATACTATGATTACTATCTATTATTCTGTAAACACAAAGCTCTCTATTTAGATCGCTCATCAATAATATTATTATCCATACTATTCCCCATATTAATTCGTCTATAATTGATCTCAAATTGTTTGATTCCCAACTCAATTTCATTTTAGAATAGTTTAATTCTTGTAAAAATAATTGGCGCCGTCTGTTATCTGTACATTCGGCGCCGTCTGTACATTCTTGCAGATGTACACATCTGTAGACGATAATGATTTACTCGAATTTGTGCACGATCCCAATGAAAAAACTCAAGATATATGTTACAGATTTGAGTTCTTGAATCCATGTTCATGTGCACATGAGCCATAAAGGTGCCAAAGACATGCATAGATAGACCATTGCTAAAGAGAATGACCTTCCCGCCTCCCCGCAGCCCAGCTCTTTGTATTGCTTGAAACCAGATATAAAAGCATAGTTGATTTAATAGTGACTCCATAAGTATAAAAGCCACTCAGCCCTAATAATGTAACTAAGATGTTAACCAATGAGGGTCAGTTTCGAATGCATAACCAGCAGATCATTAAGAGTTTGTTAGGTTTGAGAATTTTAGGTCAGGGAGTGTGATACTAACTCTAAAGTTCAACATTTAGGTCGGAAATAAATACATGATCCATCTAATCATATTTCTAACTAATCATATAGAGACAACTGGAAAAGTTGAGAAAGACACATTATCATCTTTGACCGGAAAAGTCAAAGATGACTAAATAAAAAGGGATGAAAGTAGTATGAAACTCAACATAAAAGGAGTCAAGGAGACAACGATCCAATCAGACCATCAAATACAAAAGGCACTCTAGATGGTTTTATCAGAAATGGACACATGGTAATAGGAATATGGAGCCATAGGTTGATCTTCAACCTCTAAAACTTGATATTGTTAAAACTGACATGATAGGAGGAATGTTAAATAGCACAAAAACGATAAATTAGAAATTAGCAACCCTGTAGAGCCTAAAACCGTTTTCTAAACCTACCCAAATATCTGCTCTCAAGTTTGCAGCTGATTCTTTAATGGACCATAGACTTTTCCTCAGAATTGCTCCCAATTGAATATTCCTAAGAGATCAGTCACAGCCACACAAGTAAAAGAGAATCCCAAAATTACAACTTCAACAAAGCTCCCTGAGAACCATAGCCGTCACAATATTATTCATCGTCTGTCGAGCCACTCACTAAAGTTGCTGGAAAAATAGTCACAATATTATTCACCGTCTGTCGAGCCACTCACTATAGTTTCTGGAAAATACTCCCTGCAAAGTCTGCAACATGAATAAGATGGACAGAAAGTTTTAGGGGTGAGGGATTGTTTAAGTGTCCTATTAATTTTTCCAATTGACACCTTATGATTATAATGGTGATGGACATGATGACAGATATGTATTAGGTTTTAGTTATGAATTAGGCAACAAAGCTGCAAAGGTATCTTGGTCTGACTATTTTCCTAGCTAGCTCCAAGAAACACTGCATTCAAAACCAATTTTCCAAGCTCCAAGAAAAAAAATTAATTAAACATACATACTTGGAGAGAATAGAAACATATACGAAGTAACACACAACATAATCATAATTCAACACCAAATATTTGTGTATAGTAGAAATTACAGCATTCTAAATTGAAAAGTTTAGAATCTAGAATGAAAATGTTTATATTGGAAGCTATTGCCATTTATATGTATTTATGCGGAATGTTTCTTATCCTAAACTAATTGAATTTCAAATGCGTAGGATCATTTAATATTATCCTTGATGTGTGTTTACGAATAGACAAATTTAACATGTGAACAAAAAAAGGAGTATGATTGGACTCAATTCTGATTCCGAAATGGATCGAAGCGGAACCAACAAAAAATAAAGAGATGAACCATAACCAACAGACCAACCTAATCCAAGAACGATTCCACTTCCTCCAAAAGGTGACCAAACTGACTTTGACTTTGATTTTAAAAACAGGATAATCAGGCTGATTAAAGACTCAAGGGCAAGCGGGTCAAGAAGAGCTGACACAAACAGAGTCTTATTCAAAAATATCGGTTCAAAAGGGCCAAGCAAGTAGTAACTTATTGCTTGAAACTGGCTCCAAAACTACCAAGGAATAGGAAACTTATTGCTTGAAAGAAAAAAAGTGTGTCAGAAATTATGAGACTAACCTCCTCAAGCAGGCTATTCATTGTCTTTCCATCATAATTTAAGAAATTAACATCCTCCTATGGTAGCTCAGAGTCATGGAGCAGATGAAGTATCTGTTCCATTACAATGCACACCTGATGAAACAGAGAAGATTGCATCAGCATTTCATCACATATACTGTCACATATACTGCAGTATTGTTCTAGATTGCATAAATATTGATAAATCAGTAATTAGAAACAGAGCAGATTGTACATTTCCTTTTTTCTTCGAATCCAGTTTAGTGTAAGTACTCTAATCCAGTGATGTGTCAAGCGCATTATTATTTTTCAACTAAACAGTACATAGTATCTATTCTAATACCAATAGTCTAAGAGAAAAGATGGAGTAAAAAGTATTCATCCGCTAAATTTGTGATAGTGTAGGATTTCGCTTTGAGATAATGTAGGATTGTCTTTGTTGCTAATAAAAGTATTCTTCTGCTAAAAGATGAAATTATAAGGTCAAGCACCTTTATAACTTTATAAGCACCTTGGTCTTCTTGTGAAAAAATCAAGCGTATAGGAAAATATTTTTACTATTCTATAATTCGCCAAAGTGCCGAACACATAGTATCTTTACATACGGGTCAAAACCACTTGAATTCCTTCTACAGCCTGGTGATCTCAAGTTAAGCTCAAAACACTTATAGCTAAACCTTTTGAATTCTGATCACTTTCTCAATACAAAGCAGCAAAAAAACTACTCTCATATTCAAGATTCTTCCATATAGAGAGATTGTATAGAGCAAAAAACAGAGGTGAATATTTATATTTTTCTCTTTGGCCCTGATTGTGGTTCAAAATTGTACCGCGAAAAGAACAGAAAAAAAACTAAGAAATAGAAGTGAATTTGATTCTATTCTTACAATTTCTAAGTTGAAAATAGCAGATAGTTTCAATTACTTAAATCTATATGCATGGAGTAGTGCAATGACATATTAGAAGCCAAGAACATCAATTGAATTAGGTTACTTGGCTAATTTGGTAACCTAATTTAAGAGAAGATATAGGAGCCAAAAATGTTTCACTGAGATTTTGAGAATAAATAGTTTATTTCAATCATACCTTTAAGAAGAAGAGACTGAGATGTTTTCCCAACGCAAAAGTGTGTGTGTATATGCACAAAGGAGCGGCTAAGCTGTTCTTTCAACAATGTTGGTGTGCGGCTGAAGAAGAAGAGAAGAACACCATCCGGCCTAATAGTCTTATAGAGATCGAGTGAAATTAGAGAAGGAGAATGCTCAGCAGCGAGAGTGACACAAATGTTATTGCCTGAAGTTACGAAAAATCGTCTTCTGCCGCCGTTGAGGTTGGCTGGTGCGGGCAAACTGGTTTGAGCTTGAAGCAGAAGAATACGATAGTTTTGAATCCATTTGAGAGGTAGAAGGAAATAAATAAAATGGACAGAAATAGGAGACTTGGAAGAAATCTAAGTTGCGGCCAAGGCCCAGTGGACTCCAGAAGAAGAACTCAATCTCCCACGGAAGCAGAAGAATCATCTCAGTGGCAGTTGAATTGGAGCAAGCGTCCGTATAAAGAAGAGGAGAGAAATTGGGGGTAGGCTAGTGAAGAAATGGGAGCAAGCGCGATTAATTTTATTTTAGTGAGTAAAATTATGTAATTAGACATGAGCATTTGAGCGGGAGAAACCTTCTCTCTCCTATGTAGTATCTTTAAGTATATAAAGATAAAGATAAAGATCGGCAGTGACCTCTTCAATGAGTCCCTTCAGCAAATGCTTCTCAACATCCTTTGTCACCTCACCCTTTTCTAGGAAGGCAAACATGGTCCCATAGTCCCATCCAAAATCCCATATACAATTTATGTCAAGCTCTGTGTTTTGCATGTCTTTCGAAGCATGTTATCGAAGTACTGCGTTGACACAATCTTCACAGCCACTCCGATCAAAGCTGGTAACTTCTCAAAGTCCTTGCACAGTTGCCTGATCAGATCATCTAAAGATCTAATCATTACGTAACTGATAATGGGTATTCTGGCGTGGGGAAAGGCAGAGAGTTCTTGTCTCCTCGCTTTTCTTTTCACTACCTCATAGGCACAGTCTACTGTAAGCATACGATCTGTCCCTTCATTGATATGATCATTTTCATAAAACACACTCACTGGTAAGTTCAGATTGAGGAGCGCTTCTGCAGTGCTAAGGAATAAGTGGCTTATGATAAATGATATCTTGAGATTCTTTTCTGGCTCCGTCAATGGCTCTTTCTGTTGTTTGGGATTTGGCTTGCACGTTTCTGATTCAGTTGGCGGGTTTTCTGTAACATTCAAACTGTTAATTACTAATTACACAGTTAAATAAGAACAAAGGGGGCATTTTTCTACTTAAGACAAATGTATAAGAACCTAAAATTATGGTAGGCGCAGTTTTAGTAACTTGATCCTGGCAAAGTTCTTGCTCTCCGCAGCATCACATAATCTAAGAGTCATGTTCTTCCACACCCCATTTTCACTTGGCATAAATAAGCTTCATGTTTGACATAGACACTTTTCATGTAAACTTACCTTCTGGTGATTTTGCAATTTTTTTGATAGCTGATGTCTAGATTTTGTCCGGCATCCTGGTGACTACTCTTGTGTAATTCCATTGCATCTTTCTGATACCAGAAAAAGTCAAAAAGTAAAACCCCAATCTCATATTGATTAGCACAATGCTAAATGTTACGGAGTATATAATTTATGAAAGAAATTGAAAATTTATGAAAACTGAACATGTAATGTCAAAACTTTTGATTTACAATGCATTATTTCTTGTCCACCTTTGTTAAGAACCTGCGTTAATGATCTCATCCAGGGACGAGAGTGTTTCTGTAATTCAGAGGGAAGGTAATTGACTGGGAAGGAATCAATGATTTCTGAAGAATTGAAATCTTAAGTAGGAATTAAATTGATGTCCGAACCTAGTCAAGACACACAAAACTAATTCTTCCAAAAGGTACTTTATTGATAATAATAATAATGACCCTTATATAAGAGTCCTAATAATTACGGAGATGTCTAAAACTGAAATAGGAATACTAGAATAATTAGGCAGTTGCCTAAAACTGAAATAGGAATAATAGTATAATTAGGAAGTTGCCTAAAACTAAAATAGAAATAATAGTAATAACTAATTAATAGTTTTCTTTCAGCCACTTCGTTTTCCAGTATCTTTGGGCCCACTGTCTGGGTATGAATCTGCAACGTTTTGGGCTCGTACTAGGCGCTGTCACCTGCTGTATTGTTTGCCCCAGAATGCATCCGTAACAACCTTCTTCTTTGTCAAACTCGGAGATATTTTTTTCTTTCAACTCAATTGAATGTTCTTCACTCAATTTGCCTTTTACATAAGAGGTGCTATCCACATTGCATTTCACCTGTTTCTTCACCTTCAAAATTGGTGACTGTTGTTTCAGTGTGCTTTTGGATGTGTCTTTCATGTAGATTTGAATCCGACTTTCTTTCATCTTAATGGCTATCTCTTTGATAGGCTTCTCTTGTGCTGTATGTTTAGCAAAAGGAGGCTCTGTCGAGGCATGTTTGGCCCGGTTCAGTAAACGCTCCTCCCTCTTTGGAATACTTTTTTATTTAATTTGTACTACTCCCTCCGTATTTCAAAGATCTCTACAATAAGGTTGGGCACAACATTTAAGGGTGAAATAATAGGGATAATGAATAGTGTAGAAAAAGTAGGAGAGGTGTAAAAGTATGAAAGAGAAGATAAAAAGTAGGAAAAGTAAGGGTAATTGAGTATTTTTAAAGGAAAAAACTTACCAAAATTGGAACGTGTAGCAAACTTTAAAATACGGAAGGAGTATTATTATTCCTTACAGATTGTGGAAGTCTGTCCTTGATATGACTTAGCGTTGGTTTGTGAATATCCAGTTTTCGCTTCACTGTGATAGCCTCTTTTTCTGCTGTTTTCTTATCTCTGTGATGTATATTGTTATACCTCCTGTGCTTAGTCATTTCTGGTGACAAGTTCTCAACAGCTTTCTGATCACTGTTTTGATGAGGTGGCTTATCATTCTTCTTGGAGGCGAGTGTCTTGAGCCCTTTAGAACTTTATTTTGGGGAAACAAATCCAGTCCCATGAGTTTCGCAACGACATTTGATATTCTCCCCTTTCCTGTTCCACATGTTGATGAACTTTCGCGCTCCATATTTGCAGAGACACCCTTAAAATATGTTAAGGCCAAAAGTTTATGTGCACTACCTGTGGTCTCTTTCTTCATGTATGATTTTCTGGATGTCTTATCATCAAATGAAAACTTAGGAAGGTCTTGATGCTTCTGATCAGCTGTTTTCACATTATTAGTTACGTCTTCAAGTAACATCTGATTCGCTATTTGCAATTACGTCTAAGTCTTTTAATAAGATTGATTTCAATTCAAGCTCCTCAAGCGACACATTAATAAATTCAAGTATTCCAATATCTTTTGCACTCCTGGAATCATCTTTTTATAATTTTCAGGGCTCATAACATACTCCTATAGACAAAGAAGAACTTTCAAGAAGCATGCCTGTTTCTGGAAATCCTCCTCAACTCTGTATCTAAGTGGGCCCACATGAACTCAGCTACTTTTTGCTAAATCAACCTCAATAATTTCTGATTCAAATTTATGGGTTCCTGATAGCGTAGTAGATCGGAGTTGCAGAAGGTGCTTGCCTTTGGGCAAGTCTTTCACTGAGAAAAAGTTTGAAAGAGGGATTGGGGAGACAGATTCAATTTTCATTGGGTCAGTAGGCAAGTTCACTTCCACTTGAATAAGTTCTTTCATTCTCTGCCCCTCAACATGGCAGCTTAAAATTGTCATTTCTGGCTCTTCAAATACAACAAAATCTAATCGCCTAAAATCTTCACAACCGGCCTATAATCGAGCAAGCACAAATGCACAACCAATAAACTGTTAAAAGATGAATACTTGAAAACTGTCCTACAAAATCAGCAAGATGTTTAAAAATCCCTTTGTATATATAAACCGTCAAAAATATACCTAGGTTTGGCAGGAAATATATTAGCATGCTTAGGTACACAAATTACACTCAGAGGATATGTTGGTCTACCACTGTACAACAACATCCAAGCCTTAGTCCCAAAGGATATTGCCCGTCCCAAAAGCCTTGGTCTACTACTGTACCAAGGCTGCAAATTAAACTAATTGCAAATGAAAGATAGTAAAATCTATCTTTATTGAACTAATTGCAAATTAATTCAGGCAGTTATATCAGGAACAGGAGATATGCATAAAATATGGGTGTACAGAGGGCAAGCTTTCCCTTATCAATGTGACAAGAGGCTGCCACCTCGCGGTCACACAGTTACATCGTAGCCGGTGCCCAAAGCTCTCCTTCTCTCCTGTTTATAGCTAAGACTAATCAATACTACTTTCCGCTTATGCCACATATTTCTAGACTTGATAAGGAGAATGAGTGAATGACACATATTATAACGGATTATAATGATTGAAGCATTATGATTGAAGCATTACATTGCATATACCAACTCGTTCCAAAAAATGGGACAAAGGTGCAAAATCCAACCTTAACGGTCACAGATTCTGGAGATGCGCGCTCCATAAGATGGTTACCAAATTCAACTTTCCTTGAAACTCTGATTTCATAAGTAGTATCAGGCAAAAGCACCCTTAAGCGATAATTTCCTGTTGAGTCAGTCACGGTTTCCTCATAAATGCCTTCTGAATCCGCTCGAGCTCATATTGAAACACCCTCTTTTAGCTGACCAGACAAGACACTGACAACTCCCATGGCACTGGTAAGGTTTGAGCACATAAAAATATAGAAAATAAAAAGACTCGCACATAACCATAACTCATGCATGTATTAGTGCAAACTTATCATCCGCAGGACAGAAGACTGTAATCCAGTATGAATAGATAAATCTCGGATCTGGCATGGGTATATAAATGCAAGGCAAAGAGATATGTGTGCTCTATTGCAACAAGTGGTGTGCCATGTGGGGCTGTGGCATTCTTTTTTGTGCGTTATGCCTAATGGAATCAAGTTGATGTTGTATGCCTCACAATTCAACGCAGCATTGGCACACTATCTAACTCGAAGTAGGGTACGGAGAGAGTGAAATGTAAAGACAATACCTCTACCCCTGGGAGCTGAGTGGTTGTTTCTAGGGGTGGGCAAACGGGTCTTGGAACCGCGGTCCGGTCCGGGTAATGGCGGTTCGGGTCCAAAACGGGCCGGTTCCATTTTTTATTGCCATAAAACGGTCCGGGTAGGTCCGGGTAATTTTTTTTAAGGACCCGGGCCGGTTCCAAAATAAAAAAATAGCGGGTACCCGGCCCGGCCCGTTATATATATTGTATATTAATTTATTAATAGTTTTGTGATGATCGGTTTTGAAATAGTTTTGTTTTCCTTTGCTAGAAGTAGAATTTTAAATTGAGTTGCAGTAACATCATTTTGCTTTCAAATTATTGATTAAATTTTACATAAATTTCTTATTATTTTTATTGTTATTGAATTATTCCTTTCTATGGAATTTAATTACTCGTATTTGTTAAAAATGATTTTGTAATATTTGTTATCATAATATTGTTCTTAAAATATATAAATTGTGATTACCACCCCCATGTATGTGTCAACTTTGGCTAATACTGAAAATTTGTTCTTAAAGTATATAAATTGTGATTACCACCCCCATGTATGTGTCACCCTTAATATGTGATGTTAGACAACATTTTTAATTCAAATGTTAGAAAATATGTATTTTGGCTATGTTTCTGATTTTTGGAACTTTAATTGTTTGGAACTTATATACATGAAATTATGGAGTATTGGACTTGTCACTTGTGTTACATGTGCACCACTATGTTGTTATTTTGAAACTTGCTAATGTACTATATCACTCCGTATTAATTATTGATTTTTGGAACTTTGTGAGTTTTTACTAATTTTAAGACATGAGAATAGAAACCGTAAAACCCGGACCGGACCGACCCGTTTCAAACGGGCCGGGTAAGGTCCGGTTCCTATTTTGAAATTTGCAATACCCGGACCGGACCGGACCGTACAATGGAACCGGCGGTTCCATTTTATTTTGCATTACCCGCCCCGACCCGGCCCGTGCCCAGCCCTAGTTGTTTCTGTTAAGACCCAGACCCAAGCAAGAAGTGGAACATAACATCTATTAATATCTAAAGAGACAGTTTTTATGTGAACAGTGTTCCCTCCCATTTGTGTCAACATCAATAGTTTATTATTTTATTTAGTAAAAATAAATACAAAAGCAAGATAGTATAAAGATATCAGCCTGGACATCACATAAAGTTTTGTGACAAGGCAATTCCTATTGGTGCAAAGAGGAGGTGCGCAGAGCCCAATAAGTTTCACGTATTACTAATGGTTCAAAAAGAAGGTGGGTACTGTTGATATAAAATCTGGAACTGCTTTTGTGTCACTGTTTACTTTGCTATATTTCTATTGGTGGATATGGGTGGTGAGCACAGTGAATGTGATTTCCCGGATCTCATTCCCAACCACTAGAATAGTTACATTCTTCTATAAAAGCAACACTCTTAGCATGACAATTCTCGCATCCATTCGCACAGCAATCTGAAATAGCAAAAGCATATATTTCTTTCAATGTAATTTGTATTTGATCTATGATTCGTGGAATAGAGTTATAGAACAACGCAATATCACTTGGACCATAAAGGCAAGACCACAAGAGATTATAGGAAACCTGCAAATGATGGCCTTCAACCATCTTTGGAAATCATCTTGAGGTTGTGAAATTTTCTCATTTTTTTATCATTAACCATTGGTTTTTAACAGAACGTTTTGAATAAAACAGGGCTTGAAGATTCATGCTCACATTCTAGAACAGTTTGCTATCAAATTTCTTGGCCACATTGGGGGATGACGAATTTTTGCAATAAAGAATGTTATGGGTATGCGGTATCTATGTGTGACAGGTTAAAGGGTGTACTAATTGTTAGAAGATACCAGCTAGCTATGTATAACAACTATTCATGCATCTTCTACATGTTTTTAATTTTGAATTTTATCATCAGTTAGCACACTGCATCCTCAAGTGTGCACTCCATGTAACCCCAGAAAATCTACTATATAATGAAAGATCTAATATTTATTATTCATGTTTAATTCAAATGCTTATTATTATTGAGCACTAATAGTCTGATATTATGGGTTCTCTATGAGATTATGGCTCAGTGGCTCACTGTTTTAGGAATTTGTCTAGGGAAATTGTAATGGTCAATTAAATATCTAATTTTTCCCAATAGCTTCAGCATTCAGGGCTTCCTTATAGACCTAATTTACTTCATAGATTCAAATATGAAATTCACTTAAACCAAAAACGACTACCCAACAACTACACTATAGGATCTAACTAAATGACGTATTGATTTCTATATCTAAGTATCGACCTCAGTTTGTTCAAAAACAAAGATTTAACTCTGCAAAATAAAGAATCTACTTTGTAATATCAAAGTAGTTTAACAGTTGTCTTTCATTTCACAATGCTAAGCATTTACAGGTCTATGTATGATGGGCTTTTCGGCAACCTATTTCAATGGGGGAACTCATTATGACATTGATTAGTTTTTATGTAGCCGTTCTATTATATAGGAAATCAACAAAAGTGTAGTAATTGTAATATGGAAAAAAAGGCGGGTTCAAGAGACATACCTGGCCACCTGGGTGCTACTGCAGTCCTATTTCTATCCTAATCTAAACCTAATTATTGATTATTACATTTCAAACTTACATACAAATTGAGATACATTTAATAAATTTTACATTACAAGGAAGAATAGAACAAATAGACCATTGTAAGCCACAGAAAATAAACCCTAGACCTGCATACCAAATTAACGTTAGTTAATACCATAATTAAATACTTTGCAATTAAAACTGTGTTAACGCAATGTTTAAATGCTGTATTCGGTATATATTATTTCAGAGGTGTGGTGTTTTTGAAAGCCAATTATAATTTAGGAAAAATTGAAAATAATAATCCCAACTATTGTCGGTCCTCCGATAATAATCCCAACTATTGATTATATTTGTATAATCCCAACTATATGGACCATCCGCCAATAATGGTCCATGAATAGATATTACCTTCCAAAAAAGTGAATTTTAAATAGAAATTAAGTGTAAAAATTAAAAGTTGGGAATATTTATAGGGATTACTTGCTATATCTCTTCTCATCCACTTTAGAAACTACAAGAATTTATTTACAGGGACCATTATTGGCGGAAGGTCCCTAAAGTTGGGATTATTCTGAAATAATCGATAGTTGGGATTATTATAAGCGGACCGCCAATAGTTGGGATTATTACTATCAAATTTTCCTATAATTTATAGGGAAATAACAAGATAAGGAAAATGATCAATGATTTAATTTTTGTGCTCATAGGTTTTGTATGTTATATTCAATTGTGTGATCTTAAATTTGTTTGAATAGAGAACTTACAAACTCAGTCTCTAATCCTTATTTTTTGAAAATAATTCATCTTACAAAATAAAAAATTATGTTTTTAATATTTAAGAGGAATAAGAAAATATCATTAGCACTGAGGCCGACACGCCCGTCCTGCATTTTCACTTCCGCCCTTTGATGGCCCAACTGGATAGGCCCTTTGTGTTATCCAATCTCCGGGGTTATTGTCAAAAGGGAAATATAAAGGTTAGCAGCTTATAGAAGCTTAAGAAATATAATAAAATAACTGATTGTTTCAATACCTCAAATGTTGTGCCTGGAGAAGACCATACTTCAGCTTCACCACATATGCATAAAAAACATTATCAAAATAATCTGGAGATGAAAACCACTATCAAAAAACATGTGTCGGTGACATGTATCTGTAATATTGTTAAAGCAATGACTCTTTCATGAAAAACATTATCAAAATAATCCGGAAATGAAAACCAATTCGAACCACAAACCGGTTTTTGGTTGCTTATTCGTGAAAAACGTGCAAGTGAAGATGTGGTTTGTGAAGTGGACGGATTTAGATGTTACCGCTAACATGCAATTCGAGGAGGTATAGTAAAAAGTGTATGGAGCCATAGCCATCAGATCTGTATAGTTTGTATGCTGTAATAACAAAAAAACGGGTTTAGGTTGTTTATTCTCTAGAAAACATGTAATCGACGATGTGGTTGCGTGAGTGTAGGGAATCAAATCTTACCGTTGCCGTGTAACTCATGTGGCAGTTTGACGCTGGATTTGGCCGACGTTCGTTCGGTTGTTGCTTCACGGTGGGATACGGGCGGGAAAAGGTCGATTTAGTGTGAGGACCACTTCGTTTTCCCGTCGCTTGGATGAATCGTGGATGAGCATGCGTCGATTGAGTTCTGTGAGAGGGAATTTTGAAGGTCGGTGTGTGTCGGCGAAGAAAGGGGCGGGGGTTGAAGGGGTGTCGTTTTCTTCATTTGGTTATAAACCTAATTTTATTGGGTTTACGCGTATTATTGGGCATTTGGCTCTACCGAGCCCGTGAATTGTAGTTTTGGACTGTTCTGGATTGTCCCCCCAAAATTCCTTTGGGTATCAATATATTTCCTTTTTTGGACTTATTGAAAAGTCTTCTACACTTCCCAATTAAGAAAAGTTTTATCTGTGAAAATACATGAATACCCTTATCTTATTATATTATTTGTTGAGTTGCAAATTATATTATTTTAGGAAGTAATTTATTCTCTGAATATTGTCACCAAACTAAATTAAATGATAAGAAAGTATCACATAAATACATTATTTTAAAATTTTGGTAAATTCGGTTTTTAATCTATTTTGATATGTTATTATAATCTATTTTCCAAGAGTCGATGATAACTATTAAAACTTAAAAGTAAAAAAAAAAAAAACAGGAAAAGGTAAAGAATTAGGGATTCTTACATTGTACTTTCATATTATGTACATTCTCATGTATGTATTTATTTCGTAAGTTTTTTAGTATTTATTTGTTTTGAAATTTTTACTATATTTATATTTCTATATATTTATTTTTAAAATTGAAGGGTTTTTCTAAATAAAATTCAATTTGCTTAACTTATTGTTTCTGAAGAACTATAATAGCATGTCAAAGTGGCTAGACTGGCTGTGTATAAATACTTATTTGAAGATTTTCTCATAAATTTATATTTAAGTATAGTTTAGGAAAGACATAACACATTTTCACATAGCTGCACACCCCCTTATTTGTCAGGTTACATCAGCAATCTATTAATATAGTGACAAAATTCAAAAATTTGTCACATATATAGATTTAATTATTGAATGTGTTTCGAAATTTATTGTGCTTAAAATGATAGGATTACTTTTCATATACAGACTCAACTAACATTTTCTCACAAATTCATATTTCAGTATTGTTTAATAATGCCGTAACACACTTTCACACATTTGCACACCCCCTGAATTGCCAATTTACCCGGGAAATTCGTGTAAAAAATGCAATTCGTATAGATAAAGACATAACACATTTTCACATATCTGCACCCCCTGATTTGCCAGGTTACATCAGCAATTCGTCTAAATAATGCAATTTGTATGGATAAAGACATAACACATTTTCATATATCTGCACCCCCCTGATTTGCCAGGTTACATCAGCAATTCGTCTAAATAATGCAATTCGTATAGATAAAGACATAAGACATTTTCACATATCTCCACTCCCTGATTTGTCAGGTTACATCAGCAATTCGTCTAAATACTCCCTCCGACCCTTAAAACTTTGCCAACTTTCCCTTTTTGGATGTCCCACTAACTTTGCCACTTTCCCTTTTAAGTAAAGAATTTGTGGTTTCTGTTAATTCTCTCTCCTCTGCACAAACCTCAACCACACAGTTTTTACTTTATTAATCCCCGTGCCGGTCAAACTTGGCAAAGTTTTAAGGGATGGAGGTAGTAATGCAATTCGTATAGATCATAACACATTTTCACATATCGCCGTCATTCACTATATATAACTTTAAGCAATTGAAACCAATAAAATTCGGATTTCAATACCCAAATGGAAAAAGGGCAATGTTTTTATATACTATGTAGTACTTACTCCGTATTTGTTAAGAATAAAAATATATTAAAAAGTACTACGTAATATATTTTTGAATCAGTTCAATATGTTAGAATTGACAAAATCTAATTGAAGTGACTGCATTGGTTGAATTTATCGAACCACAAAAAAAATACATTAAAAAAATAGAACATTTAAAATATATCTTATTAATAAAATTAAGAAAAAATAGAAAGTATTCCAAAATATTTCTGAAATAAAAAATATTTATAAAAAATGCCAAAATAAAAGTAATTTACGAAAATGTATTAAATATCTAAAAGCAAAATGTTTTTTGCTACAGGATTCCTGCTCAAAAACAACAACATCAAGAAAGTACAGGAGAATTAGTGAAAAAGATAAAGAAATAAAACAATTACATGAAGTAAAATTTCATGGACCATAAAAGTGGAGTGCAATCCATGCGGGCATATAGAGTAGGAATGTTGAGTAAAGAACGAAAACTTAAGGACAACGGTACAGTGCATCAACGAAAATTTAAAGACAACAGTCCAGTGCATCGACGGTACAGTACAAATAATATTGATAAACGCAAATACATGACTCTCACCAATAGACTTTTTGTGTGTTATTAAATCTTTTCAAATAAAAACTTCTTTGAAGATGTATGTTTTATGTAGATACAATATAATTGAATATAAAGTTCATTGACAGAAAATTTTAAAAAATTGAAGCGACTGAATAAAAAACGTAATCAACAATATCGACAGATCTACCTGATCTGTAGGCTCACTACGGCGGATGATTTCGCTACCGTATAGTGGGGGGGTTGTGATCTTACCGTTGTCATGTAAATTGATCTATACGACATTAGTGGGCGACCTACTGCAGACCATCGGTGTCTTCATCCTTGGAGGTTCTGGGTTTTGGCGGACCATTGGCGGACAATGAGTAGAGGAATTCCACTGAGTCACTTGCTTTCGTCGGCTTCAAGTTAGGGAATTTCGATTTTCTTTGTAGTGGGTTGTAGATAATGTCTTAGTCAGCCACATGAATGAAGGGTTTGATTCTCCTATTGAATGGACTAATGAGGAGCCGAGTGGTGAGGGATGCATTTTATTGGGCCTCAAACTTTCTAACGGCAATGGACTAATAATGAAAGGCATGTTAAAATGCAAGGCCCCTGGAACTTGGTTAGGCAATGGCCCTTGCTCACAAGTTGCCAAATATGGTTACCCATTTCCACATATTTGCACCCCCTGAATTGCCTGTTTACCCCGGCAATTCGTTAAAAACAATGCAATTCGTATAACCCTATTACTTATTTTTACCTTCAATTAAATTATTTTTGAAAAGGGAAAATTCTTTGACAAAATCATTTGTGTGAGACAGAAACTGTCAATTCCCAAACATTCTTAAACAATTTCATATGTTAGCTTATCATTCCAATTTCGGAAGCGATAATACCCAAACATGACTATAAATAAAAATTAAAACAATCATTGTCGCGTCTTTGTTTGTTATTGAAAAAACATGTTTTAGTCGTGATTAACTTTATGCAGTTGTGTTTAAAGTAACCAATCTCTGACCATACAAAATATACATTGCAAACAACGACAAAGAAGAGGCACAGACAGTGATATCAAGAATTTGTGTATAAAAAATTGAAGTGTTTCATAATGTTTTTGAATGAAATATAATAGGGTAGTTTGGATTCAACATTTCATCCTCAACACGATGTTTTTTGGAATGATTTATTTGTTAAAAGATTGGCGATTTGGCTAGAAAGCCAATAACGAAGAGGTTTTCAAATTATTTTTATACTTCGTGTTACTATTTTTGTGGGGCTATAAAAAAACTGTGTACTACTCCGCAATCATTGGAAAATTGTATTAAGTACTACCATTGTCCCGTTAAAAGTTTCATATGGCAAAAAGACACGGTTATTAAAACAATAATTGAATAAGACAGTTTGAGTTTATATCAAGAAATAATTTTAATGGGTTTATGTTATAATGAGATTAGTGTTGATAACTGTGATATTATAAATGTATTATTTTTAATATTTAGTGATTAATATGTCATTTAGGATTGTCAATTGTTTTTAAAATGAAAATGAGTACCTTTCTATGAAACGGAGGGAGTATATTTCATTTTATGTCAAATTGTATCATAATATAATTCTAAACTATTCAATTGAAATTACAAATTCGATTTTATTTCTAATTTCACTACAATTTTATAGATGAGATTTCACCAACCGTGTATCGCACGGGTGTTCTACTAGAAATCAATAATATAAATGATGCTTATATTTGAGTATTGTTTAGTAATGTCATAACACACTTTCACATATTTGCACACCCTCTGATTTGCCAATTTACCCAGGCAATTCGTGGAAAGAATGTAATTCGCATAAATACATAGTTATCATATTACTTTAGATGTTTATACTTAGACTTATTTCAGTCTCAGACCAAACCAAACTTAAACAAACCAGACCAGACCATACTTGGATATTAGAAATAGTAGAAGCACCGATTTGAACATTTTCCCATAAATTTAGATTCAAATATGGTTCAAGAATGACATAACACACTTTCACATATTTTACTCCTTTATTTTTACCTATTTAGAGAGACAATTCGTCTAAAAAATGCAATTTGTGTAAATTTATAGTCGCCTTATTACTTAGTAATTATAAATAATTTAGCTTCAATTAATTTTTATAAACCTTTAAAATGAAAAAATTGTCAAAATCATTTGCGCATTGCAAGGTGAATTACTAGCAAACCATTTTACTAAAAGAAATGATTTTGACATAAGTTAGTGCGAGCTAAAATGTGTTGATTCCTAAGCATTCCTATTAACAACTTCAAATGTTAGCAGATAATATGTTATGACTATAAATAAAAGTCAAGGTCAATCTTTGTCCCGTGTTGTGTTGTTGTTAAAAAAACCGGTATTTACCCACGGACAGTTGTATGTTGCAGTATCAAGAGTTACCAATCGTTGTCGTTTGAAAATTCTAATTGTTGATGAAGATGGAGGAACCACTGACAAGACTCAGAATGTTGTATTCAGAGAAGTGTTCAACAATGTTTAGATTTACATTAAATGCATATTTACAATGTTATGATTTCAACGTATTTGTTGGATGTTTTTGATCTTTTAAGTCATGCTTAGTACTCTCATTTTGACAATAATATTATAAGTGTATTTCGTTTAATGATTTGATGTATATCAATATTACATGAAGATGGATAATGTCATCAATTGATAGTGTGATTTGAATCACTAAGCACACATAAATTTGAAAGAAAAATTCTCAAACCGTGCATCGCACGGGTGAGTTTACTAGTTAATGCTAGAAAGCCAGTGAAATTTGGCAAGCCACATGACATCCTACATTATTTCGCATTCTAAGCTCATTTGAAGCAGGTTTTGCTCATTTTACATCGCTTTATGATTATTCGGAACCATGCGTACATACTTGATAGTTAATTTATACTTGCTTTGTGCTTACTTTGTTGCAACTGTTTGACTTTCACACTTGTCAAGGAATGATTTTGACCATGAATATACATAATTGGGTATTAGTAAAAAAAAGTATTCAAATTGCACAGAAAGTGTTTCAAGCACAAAAATTATTCAAAAATCATTCATATGGAACAAAATAATTCAAATTGCAACCCATTTGTTACGTTTCCTAAACAAGCACAGAAAGTGTTTCTTTTTCAAATTGCAATTCTAATATTCAATAGAGTAATTAAATGAAACTGCAAATCTGTAAATTGTGAGATATATCTAGAGGAACAATCACATTGCGAACCAAAGAAATCTAGAGGAACATTACCAATAAAGGGTGTAGATGAGAGAAAGAACAAAATATTAGCATGTCCACCATTCAGAAGAGACTAATATCTCTGGGGGGCCTAAAATGAAGAGGATGAGTTCCCGGGGTGGCCTTTACTCCCTCTTTCCACATATTTATGGTCTTATCAGCCTGGCAAGTAATCAGCCTTGAACCAGTGACATCATATGCCATTGCATAGATGCCAGCCTCGCTCTCCAGCGACCCGGGTTGAACAATTGTCTGTGATTGCTGGAAATTGTGACCACTTCTCCAATCCCAGAACCACAAGCTCCCATTATCGCCTCCTGTAGCCATTACACCTTCCTCGTTGACGGCCATGGCATTGATGATTGCTTTCTGCTGGGAAAGCATGTTGTGCAGAAACTTTCCTTCTGGAAGGTTGAACTTTTTGATGTTGTCAGCAGAGGCAGACACAAAAGCATCCTCCTTTGGGTGCAATGCCATTGCTCGGACAGATTTCTTGTGGTGTGTGAGTGTTGACATGGCCTTGCCATTCCTGAGGTCCCAGAATTTCACAGCTGAATCATGTGAGCCAGTAATGACTTGAGGGTCCAATGGGCGAGCAAGAACTGAGCAAACTGTGTTCTCATGCCCTGACAAAGCATGAACTTGAGTCTTTTTCCTGATATCCCAAACCCTGCACACAGAATCACGACCCCCAGTAAGCAGGACATCAAGGGTGGGGTGTAGAGCCAAGCAATAGACACCGCTTAAATGACCATGATAAGACCGAATCACCTTGTTCTGTTCTAGATCCCAGCACTTGACTTGTTTGTCATCACCCGCAGAGAACATGTAGGTATGCTTGCTGCTGACCGCTAGGCCTCTTATTTGTTCAAGATGACCGGTAAGGGTGAGTTTCAGAGTCCCGGTTGCTAAATCCCAGATCTTGATTGTTCTATCTGCTGAGCCTGTGCAGAACCATGTATTGCTGGGGTCCACTGCAACGCACCGCACCGAACCCAAGTGCCCGCTGATGACCCTGTACTTCTTCCAGGGCGCATGCCGCTCACTTGCTATTCTTTCCATGGTTGCAGAAGTTGTTTTGGAAGAAGGGTCTGTTGCGGATCGTGTTGCAGAAGTTGATACGCAATATGTATATTTACTTTCCGTTTATGTAAATCTTGTGCTCCGTATTTATACTACTTTCCAGCCTAGAGATTCTCATACGCCTTTTGTTTAACTTCTTTCCTAATATACTCACTATCCTGATACTCCGTAGATAACAAATTTTAACTGCCACCGATTAACTTTCAAAAAAAAAAGATAAGGGTCAGGCCTCGAATTTACACAAAAAAAATGTCAAATAAAGTCATATATAGGATACTCTGTACGGTCGATGCCATTTGGGGTGGTTCTCTGTGAAATTTTTTGATGAATTTTTTTGAGAATCTTATTCATTAAGTTTAGTTTACTCATATCAAATTTGAACTAAAAATTCAATCGGGAAGGAATTCAATTGAATTCTTGAAAATAACTGCGTAGTTAAAAGCGCAGTTATCTTCAAGAATTTTTATTTGAATGTCTTCCCAATTGATTTTTTAGTTCAACCCATGTAAATTCGACTATGCCTTTACATTCAAAAAATACACACGTAAAAGTAAATAGTTTCAACTTTGGGGGTGTTTGGTTAGTAGCCTATTAGTCATTTTTGGCTGATTTGACTACTATTTGGCTTTTTGACCAGATATATAAACAGTTAATTGAAGTGTTTGGCTAGTCGGTTTTTGGGTTGGCTTTTTATCAGAACAACCAAAATAGAAAAAACTAAAGAAACCAGCATTTTGATGTCGGGCGATTAAAAAGGGTAATTCTAAATACAGTCCAATTTTTACTAAATACAGCCCCTAATTAAATTAAATGGCTAATATGTCCCTATTATTTTATAGCCAATAATGCATCGGCTCCAACTATACTATAGACAATACCATCGACCTTCTGCTCTTTTTATCCTACCCGGACCACGCTTCTTCTCCTTCAACCTGTCTCCGCCGGCGATAGCTCCCGCCGGATGGTGGAGTTCGCCCTTGCCAATATTCGTGTCGAAATCCTTCTCCTTCAACTTGTCTCCTGCGTTTCAGATTGTCCACCATCCTGGAGAACACCATTCATGGGGTGATTTTCCTTTCCCAAAGATGTGGCATTTTGAGTCAGTTTTCTGAGTATGGCAAGAGTATCATTTTTTGAAAATGAATTTCTTGATGAGTGTAGTCTCAACAAAATTGATGTAGTTTCGTTTTGGTTTGGTGATAGGAGCCGAGCTTAGAAAAAGCACCACCAAGACTTTGCCAACTGGGTATATATTGAGGAGAGGTTCCGCTGTGGGAAGCTTTCAATCGTGGGAGGTTAGGTTCTCAGCCAGAGCAGCCTTCATCTTCTTCACTGAAATATCTCACTTTGACAGAGCATGTTCAGGGGAGGAGAAAAAGAGCCGATGATAAAACTAGAGCCGATGGTACAGTTGGAGCCGACACATTTGAGTAATGGGTAATAAAATAATAGGGATATAATAGATATTTAATTTAATTAGAGGCTGTATTTAGTAAAAAGTGGGTTGTGTTTAGAATTACTCATTAAAAAATTATCCAATATTCCTAGAATAGGTCTTACCCGTAATGCCTTTTTTTTTGTTCTCGTCTTCCACATCCTACGCCTAAAAGAAAACTCAGCCCTGAAGTTCTTCCAAGTTCATGGTCACTTCTCTCACAACAAACTATCTGGGAGGAGGGTCGCATATGGCGGAGAGCGACGTAATTGTTGGGAAATATTGCTTTAAACAATTCGTATGAAAGCTGGAGGAAAACTCTTCAAGTTTGGCCGGGTGGACTTATTCAGGAGGAAGAATTGATAAGAAATTCAATCAAAATCATACAATATGCAGTATAAGACCTAAATCAAGTTAATTCATAACTAAATAATACTCCGTAATAATTTAAGCCACAAACACAGTAATTCTCTCACGCATAATGGTTGAAAGGTCATCTCAAATAAAACTTATAGTGTGTATGTAATACGTATATAAAAGTGGCTCGCAGATAAAATAAATTAATTGATATCCTTAAAGGTCATTTAACAAGTTATCAGCCGATTGCGAATAACTATTTAACCAAACATCGTTCTATCAACAGCTGATTCTATCCGTTAATCAAAACAGCCAACAGAATCCGTTGTCACCAATTAGGATGTTTTTACTTGGACTGTAATTTGCCCCAGACCAGACCAGACCAGTCCAGACCAGACCAGACCAGTTCAGACCAGACCAGACCAGTCCAGACCAGACTTGGATAGTTATAAAAATACAAAGAAACCAGACCTTACCAGACCAGACCAGACCAGTTCAGACCAGACCAGACCAGACCAGATCAGATCAGCAAATTACAGTCCAAGTATCAAGTTTGGATTATTCTGAGCTTAAAACAGGTCAAGATCATCCAAAGGATCAAGTTTGGACCCCAAAAGATCAAGGAAAGTGCAGGGGGACAAGATAAAAAGAAGATTGAAAAAATATTTCATATACCCGGTCGGGTATAGGCAATACTCGATCGGGTATTGAGTTGATTCGGGTGTCAAAATCAGAATCTGGAGAGACAAAAGAACGTGCAGGATTTTGACTTTTTGGCTCATACCCGACCGGGTATGCCTACATACCCGACCGGGTATGTCTAGAAAAGTGATTTTCCGGAAGACTGCCTAAAATACCCGATCGGGTACCCTATATACCCGATCGGGTACACAACCCTGCCACCTCCAAACACCTATAAATACACCCCTTTTCCTTCACAATAAAAGAATCCCTTCTTCCATACTCTTAAGCTCAGTTTAAAATAGTATTTCTTTTATATTTGTATATCATGTTTAGTCTCCAAATGAGGAGCTAAACTTCTGTTTCTTGGTGTTGCTCTTGAAGCTTGTTGATTATTAAAGTTGTGAGTTATTTTCTTAACTTCTTTCCTTGAATATTAATTATTCTCTTAATATATCTATATATTAATGTTTGGGAGTGTTGCTAAGATGACAATTAGTTAACATCTCGACATTAGTTATAGTGGTATTTATTTTCTTCCTCTATATATTAATGTTGGGGAGTGTTGCTAAGATGACAATTAGATAACATCTTGGCATTAGTTATAGTAGGATTATTCATATTTAATATTCGTCCTTGAATAGTAATTCTTCCCTTAATTTATCTCTATTTTATTGTTGGAGAGTGTTGCTAAGATGACAATTAGTTAACATCTCAACAGTAACTACTACTAGAAACGTTCAACGAACTGATGGTTAATCGTTGATGGTTTCACAAGTAAGTAACTTCGGTTTATTAATGCACGGTCGTGGTTAATAAACCTAAGAGGGATTAATTTTGTTGGTTAAACCGAAACCGTTGTGTCGAGGTTATCAATCTCAATTGATTTCATCAAGGAATTAAAAGATTAAATGCTACTATCAAGTCGGTATATGGCGGTGTTCTATACTTGACTAATAGTAAGGGTTATTAATGAACGGTCGTTGTTAATAACTACCCTCGATGAATTGGATATACTCCTCGATTGAGTATTTGAGAGGGGATAAATTATAGATATAACAATGATCGACTAAAATATATCAACAAGTGGAAAGTAGCAATGTCAAGTCCTTTTTATCTTTGAATTAAATCACATATAAGTTGTTCATCTTCGTGTTTAATTTTAATTAAATCTTTCAATCCCAAAACCCCCCTTTTATTTACTAGTTTTATAAAAAGAGAATTATTTCATTTCCCTGTGGATACGAACTCTACTTCACTATACTACGTATTAGTGCTAGTATTGAATTTATTTTGACGCACCGTGACAAAGTGCACGTCACTCAAACTCAAGTCGAGTTCTACGCGAGCTCAATTTGAGCTCCATTCGGGTGATTTTTCGCTAATTAATTTTTATAGGTTTGAGCTCAAATATGATGCTTGAACTTGAGCTCGAATTGGAGCTGAAAATAAAATTTATAATTTCCAAACTGTCAATATTTACATTTAGGAAAAATTGAAAATAATAATCCCAACTATTTCCGGTCCGCTGATAATAATCTTAACTATTGATTATTGTTGTATAATCCCAACTATATGGAACGTCCGCCAATAATGGTCCATGACCATATATTACCTCCTAAAAAGTGAATTTTAAATAGAAATTAAGTGTAAAAATTAAAATTTCGGATTATTTATAGGGATTACTTGCTATATCTTTCCTCATCCACTTTAGAAACTACAAGAATTTATTTATGGGGACCATTATTGGCGGAAGGTCCCTATAGTTGAGATTATTCTGAAATAATCGATAATTGGAATTATTATAAGTCAATTGCCAATAGTTGGGATTATTACTACCAATTTTTCCTTACATTTATTCAAACAAAAATGTAAATAATACATATTTGTACTTGTTCTCATTTTTTCACTTCATCTCTCTTTCACTAACATTTTTATTCCCTTTTTCACTATCAATAGATATTAAAGATTATAATTATTACAGATTATGATTAGGGAAAAGAGGTAAATAAGACCACGTACTAACCAAAAAGGTCAAATAAAGCCTTATTTAGGAGGCTCTGGCTGTCGCCATTTGGGGTGGTTCTCGGTGGAATTTTTTGTTGATTTTTTTAACTTATCATTCATTAAGTCTAGTTTACGCATACCAAATTTCAGATAACAATTCGATTGGGAAGGCATTCAAATGAATTCTTTAAGATAACTGCGTTTTTAACTGCACAGTTATCTTCAAGAATTCATTTGAATGCCTTCCCGATTGAATTGTTAGCTGAAATTTGGTATGAGTAAACCAGACTTAATGAATAAGATGCTCACAAAATTTCATCAAAAAATTCCACCGGGAACCACCCCTAATGGCGACGGCCAGACAGAGCCTCCTAAATAAGGCCTTATTTGATCTTTTTTTTTGTTAGTACGTGACCTTATTTGCCCCTTTTCTCTTATGATTATGATACTAAATATTACTGCCTCTGTCCCGAAATAAACGTCCTGCTTTGACTTCACACAGATTAAGAAAATGAATTTGACTTCACACTGTAGCGACACTGTTTGGCACTGTTTTGCATTGTTTGACACTGTTTGGTATAGATTTGTTAGCCAAATCCTTATACTTAATAGCAATACAAATTGATCCTGACCGTTCATCTAAAATTGATCTGGAGCGTTCACTTAAGAATATCTCGGTACACATTATCCATCCTTTTCCTTCAATAACTCTGCTTCCTTGGATTTATCTTTTCCTTTTCTCCGCCTGTTTCCACGGTCCTTTTCCTTCCGTCATGTTTTCCACCGACCTCTGCTTCCATCTCTGCTCAGGGAGAAGAAGGTGCAGGGAAATGTTGGGATCAATGGCTCAATCACCTTCCCTGAGCCGAGATGTAGGTTTTTGCCAGAAATATCACCGCCGGCCCACATCTGCCGCCGCTACCAACACGCCTACGCAATTCAATTCATGTTCTTAATTCCCTCACCGGTTCTCCTGCACTTTACAAATCCCACCCATATTAAATTTTCAGATCTCAATTCCCCCATTTCTTCACTCCTTCCATTATATGGTGTTCAAACAGCCATAACCAAAGTTGGTCCCACGATCTGTCGTCCACCACGAAGACAGCCTTCTTCTTCTTCACCACCCTTCCTCTTTTCCGATGAAGAACAATCCTTCCTCCACCTCATCTACTACTATTCTGATCAGGATTGAGGAATAATATGGATGAAGCTAAAGTCAACACGGCTTAACAAATTCACTGAGTGAGGTTTGAGCTTTTAATTTGCTTTTAGATGTTTCTTATATGTATGGTATCAATCAAAATGACTGCATCATAGAAATAAAAGAAAAATACACTCAGCATGTTATGTTTTTATGAAGTTTGCCTTTCTTATAGGATGCAGCACAATCACTCAAACAGTCAAACTTCTTTAATCCTTAATACGTAGTAATATTCATACAAGTCTATTAGTCAAAGGAAGGTGTCACACGGTTATATTTGAACTGAAAAAAGAAATAGGAACACCTCATTTCTAATTTAGATTTACCACAAAAGAAGCACCATGCTAGCTCTACTATGAAAACATTCCCTATATCAGCATCCGGTTTATCTTTATTTATAGGACTTATCATCTTGAAATGTTCTAAAAAATTGTTCTCACTTTTCTTTTTGAAAAGTTTTGTGTAGCTAAGTCGCTAACATTAATTTACCTGTTTTTACTCAATTGTAATTGTATATCTCTACTTTATTCTCAGTTTCTTAACTTTAAATATATGACATGTGCTTGAGAAATTTGAGCCACCTACTTTTTACTTTAAAAAGTGAGGTTACATCTACACCATTACCCTCTTCCAATCGGTACCCTTGAAAAATGCATTTTAATAAGAGTGTTTTTTAGTGGTTACTAAATCGTTAGTATAAATATTCTCGTGCGCCCTGATATAAGTGAGTGCTTGTGCTCTAGAGTATTTTCCAAAGTGAAAAAGTTGATTCGTAAAAGTTGAGTGTGCTTAAAAATAGTAGTGATTTTAGAAGTGCAAATAATGGTGTGTCAAAATTTACTTCTATTGTATTATTTGAGTAAAATATTTTAGAAAAAGTGAAAAGGTTTTTTAGTCATCATCTCCTTTTTATAACTTTTAATTTAAAAAATACATATTAAACACCACTTTTATTATTTTAGACAACATATATGAAAATGTTTTTTAAGCAATAACAAACTCTTAAACTGGATTGAAAAACTCTAAGTATCATAATCTTATTATATTAGTGGTAATTAGATGTGTCTAATAAATACGATTATGA